CTAGTATATTGTTTTTTATTATTCCAAGCATTTCATTTATTTTTCTGTATTATCTTACATATCCTCATTTACTCCACCAACTGTGAGTTAGCGGAATGTATTCGCATCTTGAACTAGAGTTTTACCTGTTACATTCCGCTAACTGGTGCTAACTTTAAAACCAAAAATATTTACGAAATTTTATTAATGGGGTTTGAAGCAAGAGTAATTCAGCTAGTCACATAAAAAAAATCATAAATATGTCTGTAATAATGAAGATTTTATCAAGTTTTTTCATTCAATTGCTTCTCCTGTAAACCTACGAATTTGGAGTTAGAGTAGTGTTAATTGGAGGCATCGATATAATAACAACTAAAATAGAATATCTTTAGATTGCTTCTATGTATACTAAATAAGTTATGGCAATGTCATTTCCAACATTTAAAATTAACGTTGATCACTTGAAATGGTATAAATTTGAGCAATTGAAAGCTTATATATTTGATCCAACATACCTAACATGATTATTTATACTTGTGTTCTGAAATCTGAACAATTAAATTAAATTCAACTTGATCAATTAAAATTAATACTTCTTATATTTCATGAATGGAATTTGAAGTTAGAAAACCTAAAAATATTTTTTATATTTAACATTTTTAACCAATAATTTAATTATTCTTTACAATGTCGCTTCGATTTAACCTATTACATTTGACTTCAAATTTTCCATCAAACAAACAAACTTTGTTAACTATTTTTCTAGACACTGCTTATTCCTATTTATTTACTATGAGAGTTATTATGTTTCTAAAATAGTTTTAATAGAATTCAGTTTTTAAGAGTGTTAGTAAAAACATAGGTAATATTGTTGTTGTGTGTTTGACCTCTATATCACTTAAAAAGGTTGCAATTGTAGTTTCGTGGCATCTAAAAAGTACCAACACTTGCACTTACACAAATGAATAAATATATAAACACAAATTTTTACTTTTAATTTATAATTACTCAACAAAATATTATATGAAAACATAGGTATTCACCTTTAGTAATATTATGAAAATTTAAGATACCTATCCATCCTGTTTAGTTTGAATCCTTAGACCATTCTACCATCTTTTTGTTAAGATAATATTCTTAAATTTTGTACAATATATCCAGATGTTAGGTATCCCTTGTTTCGTGCTGAAACATAATTAATATTTTTAAGTTTCTGTCGCTCATATACACCACGGCTGGTCGAAGTATAAACTCTTAATTGGAAGTTATAAACAAAATACGTAACTTACGATTTACTAATAAATAAACTTACTACTCACCTTTAAGCGACCCCATTGCCAGATGGGTTTTAATAATTTTCCTCGCTATGCTTTGGTTAACCATATTTCTATATTAATCTTGCAAATTATTATCCATCCGATAAATCATTTTTGAGATATTTTCACAGTTTATCTTTTTTTTAATATTCTTCATTTTATTTCAAACGTCGACCATTTTGTTTTATTAAAAATATTTTGTTTATATATGATAAAAATTTTGACAATTAACTCTTTTTATAAATAAAATGAGTCAATTGTCACGATATTAATAGACAACAACTCACTAGGTTCACTCCCTCCACTTATCAAGACGTAATGTAAAATTTCTTAACAGAATACCATGAGATTCCAAAAATTACGTGAGTGACGAAGGGAGCGCCGTTAGTGCGTAGTGGACTCACGGATTAACAGTGAGTTACAGAATCGCAGGGCTGTTGTATGTAACCAATACGAGGCGCGAGCGCGTGATTCTACCCACCTCGCGCCCCGCGTACACAAATGCATAGGCATATACATTGGTCTACTCCGTTCGCGTTTGAAAGTTACAACATTATGCGTCTGACAAATCCTTTAAAAATAGTGTTTTTGTTGTTTTTTTACTTTGAATGGATAAAATGATCCATGTTAGGATGTTTTTCAGCAAAAAAGCAAAATAGCATTTTTGTGGCATACAACAACTTACGTGGGAGGTATCGATGTATCTAGTTACAATGCCACACATATACCCAAAACGCACCATAAGCGTTAATGCAATCACTACAATGAATGCTTAGTTTTATTATTCTATCATGTACCACGAATGCTTAGTTATCATGAAAGGGTTTTTAGCAGTACGAATAGAATTATATTAAAGTCAGTCTAATATCGACCACCGTAGTAATAGGGTCTTGCATCGACCACCTTAGAATTAGGGTCTAACATCGACCACCTTAGAATTAGAGTCTAACATCGACTATAGTTAAGAATACCAAGTGTAATATTCTTCAATAAAGTTTACTTTTTAAAAAACCCTTTATATACCATCGCGATTTGACTGGCGCAGCCGGTAGGATATCCGTCGTAATCCTGTGCCTGTGAAGACTTAAAATCAGTCTGAGTGTAGGGTTGCGCGTGTGTTTTTACGCATTTAACGGATATTTTACTACCAAACAAATTAGTCATTATTGATAGCGTAATTCGACGGTAAAAGGTCAAAAAGTGAAAGAAGAGTAAGCAGTTATAAATAGAAGAAATGGGTTCCAGACTTATGTTCGTCCTGCTAGTGACTCGAGCAGTAACGATCCGGGCCCTTCAACTTCAAAAGGTTGAGAAGAATCCAGGCGTTCTCTCTCTCAGAGAAGGAACCGCTTTGATTACGTAATATTATGATAAGTGGATAGTAATTAAGACATTAAATATTAAACTTATTAAGGAAGAATTAGAATTTAATATGCATAGATATATAGAACTAAATAGAATAGTAGAATTACAATTAAATACCAGTAGCCCTTCGTTAATATATTTCAATGATGTTAAGCTTCAAGTTAATTATATGTTAAATATCACATTGAACAAATATTCAGAAATTGTACCAATTAACAGACAGAAAAGAGGACTCATTAATCCTTTGGGATCTCTAGTTTAAATGATAACAGGAAATTGGGTTATGATGATGCTATTAAATATGACAACTTAATAAAAAACGTAAAATCACGTGAACATTCTTTGGAAAAGAAAACTACTGTTATATCCGAAATGATAAGACTTGTTGCAAACTCTACTCTACAATCTCGAACAATTAAGTGATGCAATTAATAAAATTAATAAAAATATTAAAGATATTTCAATTATTTCACATGTTAACCAAATAACACATATCTATAATTCTTTCCTACATAATTTACACAAAATTTACCGAGATTGAAAACATTTTAGCATTCAGTAGAATGGGCGTATTACATCAATCTATAATTAATACTAATGAACTCATTAATGTACTTAGAATCATAGAGAAAACAGATAAGCTGATATTTAAAGTAATTCCTGAAAATATTGTAAGAATTGAACAGTCCATGACATTGAAATCGTATTTTAAGAACAATGTTATTACTTTAGTATTAGAAATACCCTTAGTTAAGAAAGAAACTTATTTTTATTATAGAATTGTACCCTTACCTATCACCCAACCTGAAACAAACCTTACCTTAATAATATTACCCAAGTATCCTTACCTTATTGTGAAGGGGTTGAAAGCGAAATCGCTGTCGACATCATGTAAGAATATAGAAGAAGAAACATACCTTTGTGATGAGCTGCAGACCATGGTACCTGTTGAAGATACTTGTATCCTGGACCTGATGAAATATTCTCACAACGTCTCTTGCAAACAAATTCCAATAGAATTCGAAGAAATTAAAGTAGAACTTTTACAGATTAACCGATGGATAATCTACTCTAAATCACCTGTTGATCTGGTTAGAACTTGTGATAATGAAATTTTACATTACACTCTCATAAATACTTACTTATTAACCATAGAAGATAAATGCCAATATAACATTGCAAATCACTTGTGAGAGCTTATATCTCAAAAGCTGCCGCTAGTAAATTTACCTGAAAATTTGAAGATCAGTATCCAGAGCAACATTAATCCTGTTAAGCTTAATGGGGTTGATTTAACCAATTTAAAAGTATTATCATACGCCCTACAAAACAGTGAAAATCAAAGTGATAGTGTAGTGAAAACCAATAGTGTCAGTTTAGGGACAATAATTCTATATGTAATTTTAATTTTAAGTCTTATATCCTTTCTGGCATACAAAAAGATAAAAACATGTATAATATTTCAAGGCCGAAACCATCCTCCGAAAAATTGTTCTTCAGATGATTTCGAGCTTAAGGAGGGAAAAGTTACAATGTCACACATATACCCAGAACGCACCATAAGCGTTAATGCAATCACTACAATGAATGCTTAGTTTTATTATTCTATCATGTACCACGAATGCTTAGTTATCATGTAAGGGTTTTTAGCAGTACGAATAGAATTATATTAAAGTCAGTCTAATATCGACCACCGTAGTAATAGGGTCTTGCATCGACCACCTTAGAATTAGGGTCTAACATCGACCACCTTAGAATTAGAGTCTAACATCGACTATAGTTAAGAATACCAAGTGTAATATTCTTCAATAAAGTTAGCTTTTTAAAAAAACCTTTAAATACCGTCGCGATTTGACTATCTTGTTTTCTATGTTATGTGTTTCGTTAGTGTGCCTTTTAAAATAAAATAAAAATTAACCTACGTTATAACGCTATCTCTACTTGCTCTGTACTCGGTGGTAGACAAGTCATAAGTCTAGTGTACAACGTCAAATGAACATTAACATAACCATTATATAGATATTTGTATTGTATATGAATTTAGAACGTAGATTAATGTTTCTAAGGTATATAATAGAATAATTACTATAGAGGTTAAGAAGTGGAACGTAGACTAGAATATACTATATTTAATCAATCTATGATTAAGAATACATTTTGTCTTGCGTTTCGTTTATTGACTATTCAAATTTTTAATAAATATTGCCATTCAAATTTCTAGCAAAGCTCGAAGAGAATATCTTCTTATGCGGCCTGTTTTTCATGCAAAGCAGTAAAAAGTCATTGGTCAGATATCGGTTCAATGCCCCAGTCCCCAGATAGCAATGGCTCTTATTTAGCATGAAAGATATGTTTGGTGATCTTAGTCCTGGCGTTCCAATAGAGTTAAGAGACCGCGACCAAACCGTTCTAATGGACACTATTGATCATTCTCGAGCCCGTTACCCTTATTGCATAGTTTGGACCCCTATACCAGTACTAACGTAAGTCATCCTATATTTTTCTATACTACAAACCAGTGTGAACTTACTAAGCTATGAAAGATGTAAATTGTTTGTTCAATCTATATATGAATATTATCGTTTGTGAATAATACTCCAACTATCTTACACAGTTTCTATCAACATTCCAGCCTTGCTCAATAGGGTAAGGGTGGGTAGGTAAGAGTGAAATGCTTATACACAAACCCTACATCCTGACTATGAAATAGGTCACATTTACATGTTACAAGAGTATCCTAAATAGCTCAATGGTCCTATGAATCCCATGTATATATGACAGCAGCAACACTTGCAGATTTTATAAGTTAAATATTTTCAGGTGGCTATTCCCATTTTTAGGCCATATGGGTATCTGTATGTCTAATGGAATCATACGAGACTTTGCTGGTCCTTATTTTGTATCAGAAGATTTAATGGCCTTTGGAAACCCAACCAAATATTGGCAACTATCTCCACAAAAAGCTTCTAATGGTTCCGCAGGCTGGGATGCAGGAGTAATTGAAGCTTCAGAGATTTATAAAAAGAGAATGGTATATAGAATTTATATATATCTTTACAAATAAATTAGTAAATCTATTTCAAGTAGTTAATTAGTTATATTATTATTTAAAGTAATGCGTTGCCTACTCATGTAATATATATAAGATTCATTGACATTGCAATTTAACTTTGTATCTTTTTTTAGCACATAATATTCTATGATAATTGCCATTCTCATGTAGCAACAGCATTAAATACAATGAATTATGGAGGTTGCAAGAATTGGAATATGGTAAAACTAGCATTCTACATGATACCATATTCTAAATATGTAAGGTAAGTGACACAATCATTGGCTAACAAATCCTATTCTACCTTTTAGATTCAAATTGCATGTACATACTTATTACAAGGTATATAGACATATATGTAATATACTAATTAAAATATTGTAATATACCAAAAAAATATTAAACTTTAAAATTAATTTTAGTTTTTATTTCCAGTTTTGCAGCACTCTTAAAGACATGGCTACCATTCTGTTTAATAGCCTCCTTTATTTGTGGCTTGGCTGCAATCATATAGACCACTTCTTAATGTATTGACACTGGCAATATCAAATAAATAGTAATAAATAGCTAAATTCACAAATTGAAATAAAAGTTCCATTTACATTCAATTATATGTTAACCATTACTTTACAGGTAAGTGCTTGTCTTTCCCTATATCTATTTATCTTAACTATATTATTAGAATATGAATTTATTGAACAGCTTGACATAGATAGGTATTTACCCAAGAATGCTGATACAACACTAAAAAGGCCACCTGCCGTTATCCTTTAAGGCTTATTAAAGCTTATTTAATTTGCAAAAAGTTTGTGCTATAAGGACACTAAAACTATTCTTACAGAAGAACCTAGAGATGAATGACCAAATCTCTTAAAAATAGTTGGAAAAACATACTTTTTAACAAAACAGCATTCCCTGTAACATACTTCAATAACAACAAAATAAAAAAGATAAAAATGGTTTCATTTATAGATACAACAGTATAGCAAAATCTTGTTTTTATTTGTAAAATTTTATATATGATAAATAAACCCACACCAAAATGGTTGATAAAAAAGTTTATATATAAAATGGAAATGTTCTTTGTTATGTTATCCACAAGCAGGCAATATTATAATCTGTATAATAATATATTGAAACCTTTTCTGTATGTAACAAAAGGAAAGACTGAAAAATATTAGGTTTACATTTTTAATGTTTAATATAAAAAGAACTTAACACAGAGATTTTGTCATTTGCTGGTGTATAATTGTAGCTGACAATGAGCCCTAATATTTATCATACCTGATTAGATTTAGAAAATAGATAACAATAACCAACAACCCACTATTTTCCAAGAAATGGTTTAGAATTTTAGCACAAAATTAATGCTTAATTTTAAAGTCATAATGTCTTTCTGTGAATAAAAATTATTTTATTTCTATAATTTGTTTATTAAACATATTTTTTTTGTTTGTTTTTTTTAACTAAACATAAACTTACCTTATCTTCTAATTCTTGCAATCTGAACTATTTCAGTTGTTAGCAATAGAAAATATTTTTGTAATAGGTGATAAATTATTAAATTCCACACACAAATAACCAATAACTACAATTGAATGTTTTGTACTAAAATTGTGGATTTTATATACCCATCAGAAATAAATTAAATAGCATTTATAATAAATTATATATTTTTTCTTCTATTTATAAAAAAAAAACCAGTGCCATACAACCTGTTAGGTCTGGGTCTCAAATTTCTGTATCTGTTTTGTGATCATTAATTGTTGTTGGGTGCCTGATCCACAACAAAAAAAGTATTGGGTCCAAAGCATACAGCTTTTCTCAGAATGTTCCTTTACTGTATGAGTGAGTAGTGATTCAAATGCACAAGTCCAAGGTTAAGAGGCACACTCATAAGTTAAATAAGGATATAAGGGTAATCCTTTATGCTTTTATTGACATCACAAGTATGAGGCAAATTTAGAGCAAAACAACCATAACCATTGTTAATAAACTTATCTTAGCTATTAAATAAAGCTGACAGTTCAGCAGCTTACAACCTTATTTATTAATTCCATAGATACTAATATCAAAAAGTGACTGTCTGTAAAAATAGATCAGTTTTTGCCCATTTATAAACTTGGAATGAATTTGCAAATGTGGACAAACTCTTATAAAATTTAGTATTATCCAATGTAATTGAGTTTTAGAAAGCAAAACAATACATCTGAAATATATTGAGAATATAATTATTTAGTGTGACTTAACACTCTTTCAAGACACTTTTTTCAACAGTAAAATTGTAACTGTATGAGTCTATGTTTACTTTTTGGGATAAGAAAGCCAAAAGATCTCCCATCTCCATGGCAAATGAATCCTGATTAGCAGACAATTGCAGTTCACGAGCTAATGAAAACGGCACTCCTTGCAAATAGTGGAATGTCGGGTCACATATACTCTGTTTGTGTGGAGGCACTGGGACTGGAGGTGCTCGTCTTTGAGGATACGTCGATCCACCGATGTTGGGATATAACCCTCCAGTAACAGCAGGATCTACCACAACGAAACCGTCGTCAGGTTTTGGTCCGGGAATGGGTGGATTATCTTCTACTGGGGAAGATCTTCTCTTACCAAACAATGCCGTGAACATCGTTGATTCGATCGATTTTATTACCTTATATATATATTTTAAGTATTAATTATTTAAAAAAATTGGTCTCAACAAAACACAAGTATTAAAATTAAAAATAACAAAGAACTAGGTTGATAATTTGATTTTTGATCACAATGCACACTGCACAGGTATACAAATAATTTTTTGATTTAGAGACAAGTAGACAAAGCACATATTTCTGTGCTGCACAGATATCTAATATAATTTAACATTTACGTCTACGACAGATATTCTCACTGACTGATAAGTGGCAACTGGCAAACGTGTTTAATTTATGCCATAAATATGGTGTCATAGTGCGTTTTCCAATTACAGCACTAGAGCGCATTTTGCGGCATAATGCTCAACGTTGAGTGTTCCAACTACAGCAACGCTTCGCACAATTGAGCACTCTCAAAACGAATGCTCTCGCAAACAATACCAACACAGTGACAGAAAATTGACCAGTATTTTTCTTTAAGTTGGCATTTATCGAAATTTTCGTTAGTAATTAATATTATTTATTGTTGAAAAATTTGTAAGGCTTTCGTTTCGTCGTAGATTTTGAAAATAATTAAAGTTATTTCAAACTGCTAAAAAAATAAATATTAGTATGGATGAAGGTATAAATAGTTACTTTTTTTATATTCCACATTTAAAATATGAATACAATTTTATTTTAAAATTCGGATCTGTAAACAAATTTACAGGATTATACTTTAGAAAAAATTGCAATGGTTTTGAAAAAGTATATATTTTTTTAGAAATCATTAAAAAATATTACTCAAAACGTAAATGATGTAAACTTCTTACATGAAACTAAATATTTTACTGTTAATTTAGCTTGTTAAAACCTTATATTCTTTAAAGGTTTTCTCTTATTTCAGTAAAAAAAATTTAATGAAATAATTTGATTATTAAATTAAGCGTAAAAAGTTTTCAACCAATTATTATTGTTTACCACATTATTTATACATTAATGAGGTTGCTAACTCTATTCAGACCATTTTTTTGTCAACACTGACTTAGCGCACTCTGCTGATGCATTTGAAAACTAATTCACGTTCCAACTTCCAATTAAGCTTCAGCATTATGCGGCATTGTGCGGCACTGAGTCGAAAAATGCTCTGTAATTGGAAAACGCACATAATTCACTTCACTTTATTTAGAATGGATTGCAGCACTGTCAAAATCAGTGCTTTTGCAACTGTCACAGTCACTTTGACATACATAATCTGTCAATTATAAAAGGTAAAGAGTAAAAGCTCAGAGAAAACAACTAAATCATGAAAAAATTATAATAATTATTTTTACAATTCGTGTTAAATATAATTTTAATAGCTTATCGACTCACCGTGTCTTACAAATATTTTAATTACAACTAAAAAAAAATACTAATTGGTGTTGGTGTTAAAGTGATAGTGTTAATTGTTTACATATTTCGAGGGACTTTGAGCAGATTCCAGCTGTGTTGCAACGGGTTAGTTTCGAGAATTTTTAAGTAATTACTATTATGAAGAAGTAATTTATAACTATTATTTATACAACCTCATCGAACACTTGGCGCCAGGCATACCATTGCGTCTAATTGACCTACTAAGAATGGATAAACTGACAAAAACAATGAATGACCTTCGTACTGTTTGGATAGTATTGGTCAATTATCGTGTAGCAGATATTTTATATCAAGAATACATACATACGAATTATGACAGAAAAATTGAAATGCTACTAGAAGTTTGACTGTTATTTAACAAGTTTTATCCTTGTAACATTCATACCTAACCTCTGCTACGATATTAATATGTGGCATGAATAATCATGCCTTGTGGTAAATAGATTAAAAGGTATCTCTTAATCTAGAAGTGCCTTTTGTAATTGAGAATGATTAATTTATTAACATTTACGCTACATAAGACTAAGATTCTCTCTCTAAGACTCAGATTATCAGACCTACCTAGAATGAGTAGGTGCTGAATAAGTTAACAAAATATCTTGTGTTATAATGATAATTGACATATTGTGGGTATTACTTAGGGGAGGTGTGATGCTAATGACAATAGAGTATCATTGTAATTGCTGAGCTTATTATTAGGCAAGCTCAGTAAGTAAAATCTCAGAAAAACCTAAAATGATTTTGAATTTTTAGCACTTAACAAACATACAAAAACAATTTAATTAAAACATAATTTGATACTAACCTAATGTGCTAGGATGAATTATTACTTAGAGTACATTATCTTTTCAGAAGTATTTCCATCAATGGCAGATGATCCTAGTCCCTCACAAATGTCATCAGGTAACTTTGAATTTCTATATTACAACATTCTTGGCTTACTGATTAATGTGATATATACCGATAAGAGGTTCAACGGCATTGTGGCTATTAAAGTGTAGGTTGCATTCATATTTTCAACTTCCTATGATAACATTTCGTTATTGGAACTTTGGGAATCTCAATCAACAAAGTCAGTCAATCAGTTATAGTGCCTTGTGTTTTTTTTTTGCTATAGAGGACAGTTGGGTAGCGCCAGACACTGGAATGTACAATGCCTCTTAAATATACAATATGACCACATGTGTGAATACTTTTATTGCTTACTTTACTAAGCATGTTTAAATGAGTCTGTTTGCCTAGATAAATATGTCATGATCGTAGAACGATGTCGGATTTGAAAAAAACAACAAAATCCACTTTTTATCATATTTGGATACTACATTGACTAAATATTACGGGTACACTAAAAAAAATTCATGTGTTTTAAATTTCAAATTAATCAGTTGGTAGAGTGACGGATTTGATAGAAACGTGATTTTATTTTATTTTATTGTATTTCAAAAGGCACACTAACGAAACACATACAAACACTTACAGAGAACACATAACATAGAAAACAAGATACATGCATGTGCATCAATAACAAGTGTGCAAAAGTAAAAAACAAACTAGATTAAAAAAAAAAATACAAACATGCAATTTACAAATACATATAAATAAAAAACAATAATTTTCAACTTTGCAATTATCACTATTGGTCACGGATCAACATTGGCTGCAGCATCTTACGCCTGAAGACATGGAGACTGTCACTAAATGGATCTGCTTGGCATGTACTCAGAGCGTCGTTTAATGTCGATAGAGATCTGTGTAGAGGAGCATTACAACCGACGTTGGTCCTCACTGCCCGAACGTAAAAAAGGATTGAAGTTTTTCTTGTGTTCCTCTTTAAGAGGAAGTTAACTTGACTTAAAACATTAGGTAAATCTACCAAGTTATTTTAAATTTTGAAAACAAATATAATGTCGATAAGGCGGCGTCTATCGCGGAGTGATTGTAAGTGAAAGAAAGCTAGTCTTTTTTCATACTCGCATTTATAGCTAATGTCATTATTTAATCGGCATAGATGTTTGGAGAAATGGCGGTTAATTCGTTCGATTCTGTCAACATGGACAGAATATTGAGGGTTCCAAACAACACTACCATATTCCAAAATGCTACGGACCAGAGAATTGTAAAGTATGATTTTAGGCTTCACATTCTTAAAACACTTAGTCGACCGCCTTATGAAACCTAACATTCTAGAAGCTTTATTGACTATTGCATTGTAATGTGGTATGAACGATAAATTACTATCTAGTATTACTCCTAAATCCCTAATTTCATTGACCTGCAGTAGTAGTACTCCGTCGATAGTGTATTTAGAGGGGACTGGTAGTTTCTTTTTAGAGAAAGTAATTTGCGAACATTTTTTGGCATTTAGAACCATTTTGTTATGATCGCACCACCTCTGTATACCCACTACGTCACTTTGCAATAACTCCACATCTTGAGCGCTATTAATTACTTTAAAAAATTTCATATCATCCGCATACAAAGAAAAATTACTATATTTAACAAACGAACCAATATCATTTACAAAAAGAGTAAATAGGACAGGACCAAGATGAGAACCTTGTGGAACACCTGATGTGGAAATGTACGATTGCGATTCTATACCACCAACTGCCACAAACTGAGTTCTATCTGTCAAATATGACGCAAACCATTTTAATAACCCCCCTCTAATACCATATAAGTAATCCAACTTTTTCAATAAAACACTATGACTAACTTTGTCGAAGGCACTAGAAAAATCTGTGTAAATACAGTCAATTTGTTTTCTCTCATCAATTGCATTTGCCAAAAAATTTACATACTCAAAGAGATTAGTATCAGTAGATCTTTTGGCACAGAAACCATGCTGAGCAGTATCTACAAAAACTTTACTGTGTGATTTGAGTATTGGGCATAGAAGCGATTCAAAAATCTTAGAAAATGTATTTAAAATAGAAATTGGTCTGTAGTTCGTAACAATATTTGTCTCACCCTTTTTAAATATCGGTATGATTCTAGCTTTCTTCCACATTGTCGGAAACGTGCCTAGTTCTAGTGATTTATTGAAAATTAAGTTTAATGGTATCGTTAAAGAAGAAAAACAACTTTTAATAAACACTGGGGGAATGCCATCTGGACCACACCCTTTACAAATATCTAAAGTCTTAATTTTGTTTTCAATTTCTTTTTCAGTAAATCTAACATTGCATAACGGTAAGACATTACACATTGTGGGATATTGAGATTCACTTATTATACTAATATCATTGTTACTGAAAACTGATTTAAAGTAATATAAATTAGCTATTTCGCTAATTTGTGTGGCTTTTTCACCACCTCGATACATTTCTTGTGGTATTGTATATGAGTCTTTCCTTTTGTGTTTAATGAAGTTCCAAAAATGTTTTACATTTTTGGATATATTGTTTTCAACATAACTAATATATGCTTTGTACATAGTATTGTCTTTGATTAACATAACTTTTATTCATTTAATAAAACACTATTTTGACCGGATTGAAGTTATGTATTATTATAAATTTACAACTATTTAACATAATTTTAAATTTATCCGACGTTTCGCGTGCTTTACAACTATTTAAAATTATGTTAAATAGTTGTA